GAGCTAGGTGTGGTTATGTGACCACATGACTAAGATCTAGCTAATGGAATGTGAACAGAAGTGATAGGTGCAACCTCCCAAGTTCCACCCTGAAAAGGAAGGGACATGCCCTCCCTTTCTCCCTCCTGTTGGCTGCAATGCAGGTGTGGTACTGAGCCATACTGGGTGAGAGTCATGCTTAGGATACGAAGCACTCTAAGATAGTGGAGCACAAAGCAGAAGGAGCCTGGGTCCCCAGCAACTTTCCAGAGCATAGTTATCAGACCAGCTTGGATTGTATGTGGGAAAAAAATATATTTCTATTTGTTTAAGCCAATGTTATTTTGAATTTCTTAGTATAGTTAATGAAATCAGATGCCCAGTTAAAACATAGATTTTTAGAATTAAATTTACAGAGTCAAATGGTATGAATAGTTTTCAACCGCACAATGCATACAACAGGGGCAAATTACTTTACAAGAGTATACTGAGTATACTTGCTTACCCACCGACCAGCAAAGTAAAAGCTTTTGTCTCACTAAACCCCCTCTATCATTCAGTATTATTTAAATGTTGAATAGCAAGATGGGTTTCATTTGAGTAGGTTCCCTCTGACTATGAGGGCATCATCCACAGCAAGGCAGAGCAGGCTTTTACATCTTGTTTATCCTTTTGCTGTTAATTGTAGTTATAATCACTTTTACAAAACTTTTTTGATTGTTTTTTAAATCTATGTACTGGATTGTTTAAGTGATCTTCAGTCCTTTTATACATTTGCCTTTCCTATTGTGATTTTCCCATTCCTATAGATCCTTGCCTCTTTTCTATTTAAGGAAGACTTTTCAATTATTTCTTTTAGGGCAGGTTTAGTGTTGCTGTATTCTTTTAGTTTTTGCGTAGGACACAGCAGGCTTTGACTCACTCCCTGGAACTCTTCTCTGCACTCCGGCTGGCTCAGTCTCCCGTCCCTCCAGGTACAGTCATTCTTATGCTGCAGGGGAGAAAGAAGTAGGCCATCACTTTCCTCCTGGCCACGCCATCTCTGTAACTCCCAGGCCAAGTGTCTCAGACAAGTCTGATCTCAGAATTCTCAATCTGATGGGCCTTTTCGGGGAAAATGAATTACCTGAGCACATAGCCCTCTAACCTACTATCCAACCCATCGTTTCTTCTCCATCCTCACTGTGTTTAACCTGCATTCTCTGTAGATCTCATTACCCTCCAGGAATCTCTGGTTGCAGCTTCTATTTGCAAGAATTAATCAGTATCAGTAGATCTAGAACCTTTCTTTGGAAGCGTCTCTGGCCTCAGTGACTGAAAAAGAATCCTGCTAGAGTTGATATGGAGCAAAGCCACTTTCTGGTAATGGGATTAATGTACTGGGGGTACATTTTAGAGCCCTGACTTCTTTCTGATGAAGGAACTCCTGCCCAGCTAGAGGTGATCCTAGCTTCAAATCATGAGAGCCTCTTATTCTTGGTGAAAGTAAAACCTGCAGGCATGACCTACAGCCATCATTCCCCAGTTAGAGACAAACCAGTGAACCCAGCTTTCTAACTGCTCAGTCAGGCATTTTGGACACTTATGAGAAAAGCCTCTTGCTGAAGTCGGGAAAAAAGATTATTCTTGCTTGTCTAGACTCCTTTGGTGCACTGTAAGAAGACCTTGTCAACTTCCCATTGGTAGTAAAATCTCATGAAGGATATACTAAAGGCTCTAAGCAGTGGTCCCCAACCTTTCTGGGCTCAGACACCAGTTTCATGGAAGACAATTTTTCCACAAACAGGGGTTGTGGGGGCGGGTGTTGGGGAATGGTTCGGGCGATAATGCCAGCGATGGGGAGCGATGTGGAGTGGCAGATGAAGCTTCACTCGCTCGTGCCCTGTTCACCTCCTGCTGTGAGGCCCAGTTCCTAACAGGCCACGGACCGGTACCGGTCCACGGCCTGGGGGTTGGGGACTCCTGCTATAAGAACAACAGACAAACTTATTTTTAAGTAATAAACCCTAAAAAGCAGTACCATCTGGGAATGTTAAAAACACCAAACTTGGGAATTCCCTGACGCCCCAGTGGTGAGGACTCAGCACTTTCACTGCTGGGGACCAGGTCTGACCCCTGGTCTGGGAACCAAGATCCCGCAAGCTGCGCAGCATGGCCAAAATAACACCAAACCTAGTGAGTAATTCATTCTGGAAGTCATGTTTAAAATTACCAAGGAAAAAATATATACTTAACAATAAATAGTGATAATGTCTGGGTGATAAGAATGTGGTGCATTTATCTTCTATTTTTTTATCTGTATTTTCTAACTTTCTAAAATGTACATATACTGTTTTGTAATAATAAAAAGTTACTTTTAATTTTAAAAAAGATGATGTGACCTTCAGAGAGAAAGTAGATATGTGGCTATGGAAAGAAATTTAATACATACAGATTATTATTATTATTGGTATGTTAGGGGCTGAAATGAAGACTCTTGTCAAAGGGTTGTGGCAGAAGAATTTTTAAGTTTGGATGATTAAAATCTGTCACTTGAACTTCTAATGGATATATGGTCAAGCACCTCTGGTTTTTAAAAAATCAAGTTAGAAAAATAAATAAATAAAAAATCAAGTTAGGTATATAATTCAGTCTTATTCTTTCAATCTTGGTCTATCATAGACTTTGTATCTCATCTCTTTCCTTTAAGCAAGATCAAGCTTTCAAGCTTCTTTCTTTCTTTCTTTCTTTCTTTTTTAGATGTTGGGGGTAGGAGTTTAGTAATTTATTTATTTATTTTTGCTGTGTTGGGTCTTCGTTTCTGTGCGAGGGCTTTCTCTAGTTGTGGCAAGGGCGGGCCACTCTTCATCGCGTTGCGCGGGCCTCTCACTATTGCGGCCTCTCTTGTTGCGGAGCACAGGCTCCAGACACCCAGGCTCAGTAGTTGTGGCTCACGGGCCTAGTCGCTCCGTGGCATGTGGGATCCTCCCAGACCAGGGTTCGAACCTGTGTCCCCTGCATTAGCAGGCAGATTCTCAACCACTGTGCCACCAGGGAAGCCCGAAGCTTCTTCTTTCTTGATCTACTTGTTTAGTTTTGGTAGTCAGAAGGCCTAGGGAAGATTTTGTTTCCTCTCCTGTTTCAAAGATAACTCTCCGGTTACCCAGTGAGTTAAAACCACAGGCTTAACTTCTAGTCATTGGAAACTGGGTTTATCTCTTTGTAATAATGAGAACAGGATTCAAAGTAAAGGGCCATTAGAGCCACTTGTTCTTGGTGAAAGGGCCACAGATCAAAATCAGGAGGATCTGAGCCCCAAATGAGATATCTCTGACATAAGAATACCATAAAATTAAGTACAAAGGAAGAGGGGAAAGAGGACTACTTGAACAGCACTGTGATTACATGGTGAACATGTACCAGGCCATTAGCTCTTCTTCAACATTTACACTTTGGGTTGGTCTAGCCTGTAGGAAAGTTTGTCTTTATCATTCTTCCACCTGTTCTTTCAGCACCTTTTTCCTTCCTCCTGGGACCCCCAGATACCTCTTTTGTGACCCATTCCCACAAGGTCTAGCTCTATCTGTCAAGATGTCACTTGTGGCAGATACTGTTAGTTAACCTATCTATTCTTCGTCCTTCTTTTTATTTTCCAAGAGCCCTGATTTTGTGCAAGCAGATCGTCAGGAGAGACTGGGTCCCCTGGAGGTGAACCATGATGGGTGAAAACCAATACAGTAGCTAGTCTTTTTACTCTTGATAATGATTGGTTTAGGACTGGTACATGACACAATGCTTGTCTGCATGTATTATGTGGATTCCATTGCCATCTTCCCCAACATGCTAAGGATGGCAGAGGAGAAATATGGAAGTATTGGGACCATGATGGTGTCATTATGCCACTGAATTAATCAACCTATAACTGCCCTACCTTTGAACATTTTGTTGGGTTTTCTGTTACTTGCAGCTGAAACTATCCTATCTGATATTCCACTAAATCCCGTTACTTATTTTGTCAACTCCGATAATATTGTTTCAATTAATATGCAACCACTCCTTGAGTGACCTTTTAGGTACAGGAACATGCCTGGCACAAGAATAAGAAAATATATTGAGATGTATTCAGAATTTTCTATTAAGGTAAGTATCACCCTTGTTTTTTTCAGACACCTTTGTAAACTGACAATTTCTTTGAAACTACCCTCTGAGGAGAGGCTTCTGAGCTCTTTGCAGCTGAGGAAAGCAAAGTTGTATATAGGCCAAAATGACACAAGCAATTAGTGGCAAAGCTGTGGAAGCAGCTCAATTTTCTAATTCCAAATCCCTACACCACGGCACCCAATGCCAGTGAAGTGGAAAATATGTGGCAATGGGGCAGGTCGAATGGGAGGTATTAAGAGGCCTACAACGTCCCGCGAAGCAATCCGATGGCTCTACTACCGCTTGAAGTCCGCTGTGGCTCCAAGCCTGATATGGCTAGGTTGGGCTGCAGTCGCCGGTCACAATGCCCCTAGATTACACTGCGTTGGAGACGAGCAACCGGCCTGCGCCGACCTGAACTTTGTCCACCCAGAAGACAACCCTTTACATTCCATGGCCCCGCAGTCCGCCCAAGACACAGCGGACTACTCAGGCTAAGACTAGGACCCGCATTCCTGGCCACTCAGGCATCTCACCTCGGCCGGACCAAAGTTTCGGACCCACAGGGTACTGCCGGCCTAACCCACATTTCAGTACCGATACTCTTCAGGTTCCAGATTCTCTCCGTCTACTTGCTTTCCTTCTTCCCTGAAACATTACGTCCCTCCGTGGTCTCCCTAACGCCCCACTTCACCAAGTCCGTGGGCACGAAGCTCACGGGGAAGACCCAGACAGCGGAACCGGAAATGCTTGGAAAACTGAGGGAAAACTACATCTCCCAGAATGCCGGGTGAGCCGGGGGAGGGAGGTTCCCCGTTAAGGCGCCCGACTGGTCAATACTTAAAAGAGCCTGCCCCCTCCTAGGTCACGCTAGCCAATCAGAGGCAGAGATGCGTAAAAGCATGGGGGCCGGCGGCGTCCGGCGGCTTTCCCGGCAAGTCCAGCGTAGGGGAGCATGGGAGCGTGGGAGCCTAATGGTGGCGGCGTCTCTCGGTCTCGAGTCTCGGCTGGGCGTCGCTTTCTGTTGCTTTAGCCTGGTTAGCAGGAGGCTTCCTGAGATCTTAGTCTCGGAGCCATAAGTGGGGCCCAGCCGGCCCGGGAGTCGGCCTTTACGAGGCTGGGCCGGGGAGAGGAGTCATAGGCTCAGGTCTTAAAGGGTGTGGGGATGCGAGGGGGTGCGTGGAGGAGCTTGGCAGCCGAATTGGCCCCTCCAAGTACTATTTTCTCCCTTCCCAGATCTGTTCCGAAGTCCCTGTGGCGACTTGAAGACACTACCACTCCTCAAGATGGCATCCACACTCTACAACCGGGGCCCAGGTGAGACCGGGTCCCTTCTCTCGGTCCAAGTTCCGGTCGCTCCTTTCTGGCCTCTTTCGGAGGAGGGTGAGGCATGCCCGTGATGCGAGGGGTCCTGATCCCCAGAGAGCCCTTTCACCAAGCTGTCTTTGTTCCTACCAGGCATATAGGAGAAATGGCTTATCAGAGCCTTCCTTTTAGAACCACCAACTGGGAGCAGGGCCCACTGGAGAAGGCTGTTACAGGGTACCTCAAAGTGTCTTTCTGGAATGCTGCTCAAACTTACAGATTTCTAAGCTTCATTCCACACCTGTTGAATAAACAGAAACAAACAGAAACCCCAGGTGATTCTTAATCACACCAAAGCTCTATTGATTTATACGTTTGGTAAATTTAGGGAAGGAGGAATAGGCCTGGATATGATGCTGCAGTGAGCTTAGCCATGAGTGTGACCAAGAAGAAGGAGAGGGACCAGCAAAGGGAAGGATGTTGGGAGAACTCTGGACCTCCTGTCCTGTCATGATTCTTCCCGGGCTGCTCAGTCTTCTCCTTTCCCTTAGAGCATCCCTACGTAATGGTTTCCTTAATGGTTCCCTGAGAGTTGTTCCCTCATCTTTTCTCTTCTAATAGGCTCTTCTAGAACTTCTCCCAGTTTACCGTTTTGGTCCTTATACCACTATCTCCAGTGGTGCATTTTTACTCTCTCCTTCCTAATCCCCACCTCCAGCCCTCAGAACCCATTCATACCCCCTCGCCAGCACTCAGGGACCTTTTCCACCAAGCCCTTTTCTCCCTTTCCTCTGAAGTTTCTAGCTCTTCTCAGCCTTCCCAGACTGAGTAAGGGTGTAGCTTTCCAGCTTCTTGTCCTGAGATGGGCTCTCGTGTTGTTTCAGGGGCCAGTGCTGTTTGAGGACCTGGCTGTATATTTTTCTCAAGAGGAGTGTGTGAGTCTGCACCCTGCCCAGAGGTCCCGCAGCAGAGACACGCCACAGGAGTGTTTGGAGGATATGGCCTTGATGGGTAACATAGTTGTTTTTCCTGCATTTTTGAACTTTGGTCATTTCTAGGATTAGGATTGCATATTTCATCCACATGTTCGTATGGGGGAGTGGGACCTATCCCTGAGTGATTTATGTGGACCTGACAAGAACTTGCATGAGAGTGCAATTTTCAAAGGGTGAGTTGATTCTTGAAAGGCAAAAATTGGCAAGTCCCTGACGGTCCAGTGGTTAGGGCTCGGTGCTTTCACTGCCAGGAGCCCCGGACAGGGAACTAAGATCCCATGCAAGCCATGCAGCAGGGCAAAAAAAATTTAGGGATTTCCCTGGTGATGCAGTGGTTAAGAATCCACCTGCCAAAGCAGGGGACATGGGTTCGAGCCCTGGTCTGGGAAGATCCCACATGCCACGGAGCAACTAAGCCTTTGTGCCACAACTACTGAGCTTGTGCTCTAGAGCCCATGAGCCACAACTACTAAAGCCCGCACGCCTAGAGCCTGTGCTCCGCAATGAAGAGAAGCCACAACGATGAGAAGCCCACGCACCACAATGAAAAGCAGCTCCCACTCTTGCAACTAGAGAAAGCCCGTGCGCAGCAGCAAAGACCCAATGCAGCCAAAAATAAATAAAAATAAATTTATTTTTTTAAAAATTAAAAATTTTTAAAATTTGGAAATCGCTTTAATCTTAAGCGGATGGTATGCCTTTCTCATCTAAGAGGAACTATAATGTAGAAACATTAGTCATTTTATCCTAGTCAAGGATAAATCCTTGACTAGGGTTGACTGTTTGAACTTTCCCAGAACTCACATTTTATATTATCTACTTCTGTTTTCATCATGTTGTTTTCCTCTACCTTCTTGAACATGTGAAGCATATTTATAATAGCTCTTTAAACATTCTTTCTACTAGTTTTATCATCTGTGTCATTTCTGGGTCTGCTTTTGTTGATTGATTTTGCTCCTAGTTATGGGTCATATTTTTCTGCTTCTTTACATGCCTTGTAATTTTTGATTGGATGTTGGACATTGTGAGTTTTATGTTGTTGTATGCTGGCTGTTGCTGTATTTTCAAAACAATTTTTGGACTTTGGGGTAGGGTGCTAATTTATCAGTAAGTTACTTGGGATCAATATGATCCTTTCAAGGCTTGCTTTTTGCTTTGTTAGGGTGTGTTCAGAGCAATCTTTAATCTAGGGCTGATGTGGCCTGCTGCTAAGGCAGTGTCTTTCTAAGCATACTGCCTGATGCTCTGTGTGGTAGGGAGTCTTTCCATTTTGGCTGGTGGGAACATGAACTATTATGTGAATTCTGGAGATTGCTCTTTCTATTCCTTTTTGGTGGTTCTTTCCCTGACCTGGGGTAGTTTCCTTAGATGCATTTACAGATTAATATGCAGCCAGAGTCTTAAGGGGACCCCATCTAGACGCCCAGAGGTCTCTGCCTGGGCATCTGCCTCTTCTCTGGTATTTTGCTGTCAAATTCTAGCAGCCTTGGCA